TGAGGTCAGGAATTCAAGACCAGCCTGACCAACATGGCAAAACCCCGTCTCTACTAAAAATATATAACTTAGCCGGGCTTAGTGGCATGCACCTGTAATCCCAGCTACTCAAGAGGCTGAGGCGAGAGAATAACTTGAACCTGGGATGTGGAGGTTGCAGTGAGCTGAGATTGCACCACTGCACTCCAGCCTGGGCAACAGAGCCAGACTCTGTCTCAAAAAAATAATAAAGAAAGAAATAAAAGTTTCTCCAAAGACATTTCTCAGGGACTGCACCAGGGGTCCTCTTTAGTCCCAAGGGCTGAAGTGCCATGTTTTGAGGTGAGTCTGGTGTCTTTATGGGGGTTCTCTTTTCACCTGGTCTTAGGAGTATGTCAGAACCTGTAGGCTGAAACCAGCACCTTCACAGATTATCTAGACCATCAATTAATTGACTGGAAAGACTGGCTCACACGCCGAGAACAACTGAATCCAAAGCCACTTATGCTGTCTTGCAAAATGTGAGCTTAAAATGAAGTTTATAAAACAGTCTTTAGCTGGGCCTGGTGGCGCGTGCCTGTAATCCCAGCACTTTGGGAAGCCGAGGCAGGCGGTTCACTTGAGCTCAGGAGTTTAAGACCAGCCTGGGCAACATGGCGAAACCTCATCTCGACAAAGAATACAAAAATTAGCTGGGCATGGTGGCACATGCCTGTAGTCCCAGCTACTAGGGAGGCAGAGGTGGGAGGATGACTTGAGCCCTGGAGATGGAGGTTGCAGTGAGCTGAGATCCCACCTCTGCACTCCAGCCTGGGAGACAGAGCAAAACCCTGTCTCAAAAAACAAACACACTTTAGAACTCACAAGCATTGTGAGATTCAGATTTTGAAAACTCACAGAAGGCTTTGAATTTATTTTTGTTAATATATTTTTAGTTCAAAAAAAGTTACCTTCAATGACATGTTTGCTCACACTTCCTTTCTTCTATAAACTCTTTCTAAGCCTCCTCTCCAAGCTGAATGAACGCCTCACTCTTCACCAACGCATCGTCTGGGTCTAGTCATCCACTTAGTGACAGAGCCCACTGTGGGCCAGGTTTGTATGGACGATGAGGAGGCACAGGGAGCTGCCCTGCTCTCACGGATCTTAGGCTCAGGTTCAGAAGACAGAGGCCAAGGCAGTCAACACACACAGCGAAAGGCGTGCGTGGACTTGGGAGACAGGGGAGCCTTTTTTGGTGTGGGCTTTGACAACTGAATGGGGGTAAGGAGGAAGTGTCGGGGAGAACCCTAGATAGCTGGGGAGACCTCCCAGGGGAGGGAACGGCACTCTCGAAGACCCTGAGGTGGGTGTACGTTGGCATGTTCAAGGACCTGCAGGAGGTCAGGGTGGCCGGAGCTGAGGGAGTGAGAAGTGAAAGGAACCAAGCCCAGGCAGCAAATGGAAATGACTGGTGTGTACAACGTCCACCCTCCCCGGCCCCGGCCCTCCTCTCTCCAACAGCATCCACCCGCTTACTGAATCTTCTGTATTTAGTCAGGGACTGTGGACCTAGCCCATCTCTCGGATGAATCTCAGAGCTGCCCCAAAAGGTCACAGAGCCCCTGTAGATCCCCACAGCGCGGCCGGCCCAGGACTTTACGATACATAGATATCCTCTTTGGGAGCACTCTTTTCATTTGCTAGGTAGTCAGCCTGAAGGCTAGGCCAGATTTCTGTCAAGGCCACTGCTCTATCCCTGCACCTGACACATCTCACGCCATCAAACATGACTCAGAGCTTGAGGAGGTGGCCTCAGGTTCACCAAAATGCTCTCCCCCATCACACTGCAGCCAGATCACAACCCTGGGAGTCATCTCGCAATGGAGGTGCCAAGTCTCTGCCGCCTGTTCTCTTCACAGCATGGGCGGCAGGTACGTAAAGGATGAAGGAAGACTCACTGGGGAGTCAAGGCTATTTCTGGAGCGTAGCAGTGGGGGGCTCTGGAAAAAATTCCGACCAAGCAAGATGCTGGTCATGCATTCCAGCTGCAGAAGGAACCGCTCCAGGGCTTCCTCCACTCAGCGGGTATGCCACGCTCCACCCTAAACCCCGTCCCATCTGCAGAGATGCAGATGCTGAGGCTGAAAGTGAAATAACCGGCTCAACCTCTGGCAGCCAATGAGAGGCAAAAAAGTCATAGATGCTTGAGTTTTATTCCCTGTAGAAACTTGGAAGGGGCCAGAAGGGGATGGGGAAGGGCGGGTGAAAGGAACCAAAATGAAAGATCCCTTCTGTGGTGCCGCTGGGGCAAGAACTGCTGCTGTTTAAAAGGGCGTGGGGAAGGGGGATAGAAGGAAGGGATTAAAACCGACATAGGGCCAGGCACAGTGGCTCACGCCTGTAATCCCAGCACTTTGGAAAGCAGAGGTGGGCAGATCACCTGAGGCCAGTTCAAGACCAGCCTGGTCAACACGGTGAAACCCCATCTCTAATAAAAATACAAAAATTAGCCAGGCATGGTGGCGCACACCTGTAATCCCAGCTACTCGGGAGGCTGAGGAATAAGAATTGCTTGAATCTCATAGGAGGAAGTTGCAGTGAGCTGAGATCGTGCCACTGCACTCCAGCATGGGCGAGTGAGAAACTCAGTCTCAAAAATAAAAATCAAATAAAAATTAATAAAAATAAAACATGAAGTCTATCAATTAGAAGAAAGACCGAGACAGCTCATTCTCCCCAAATGCAGGCAGGAGACACTCTGTACTTGAACATCCTGTTGAAGGGAAGATAATGAAGCGGTGAGTTGGCAGCTCCGTGGTGCATCTGCCATAAACATCAATTAAAGACTCTTCTTCCCCCACGAAAAGACCAGAGGTTCACTTCGTCCATGTATTTCAACCAAGTATTTTATTGGTCTGGCAACTGCAAAATATACAAATTTCTGAAAGGCATCTCCTGTTGGAAAGCTAGCATAGCTTTATATCCCAGGTCATTAATTCAGACAAATACACAGAACACAGAGAAGTCATAAGTCACACATAGAAGGCTCCCAAACCAATTAACAACAAAACCCAATCTCTACAGCTTTCTATTGTTTAGGCTCCTTATACATATTAAATAAATAAATAGCACATCTGCTATCAAAATAATACAAAAATAAATTTCAAGTATTACAAACGAAAATATCATTGGTGTGGTTCCAAACAGTTTTTCTTCTCTCCCAAAATGAAGAGCTTTGCCCGTGGTCTCAGGACAGAATAAGGAGAGGGGGAAACTCACCCAAAAACAAATAGACAAAGTTAAAAATATTGGTCCCCGTTATTTTTTTTGTGGGGTGGGGAGTTGGCAAGAATCGGTAGACGCCAAAATTCATGACTGTAGCTCAAACCCACCCCTGCCCCGTCCAGCGTCCCCTCAAAAGGCAGGTCACTGGCTTGCAAAGCGGGCAGTGTCCTCCTTTCTATAGACTCTCCCTCCCTGTCCAGATTCATGTTCCCTCTTCCCATCTAGGCCCTTCCCAAACTAAAGGCCCGTGTTAGGCCAAGGCTTCTGTATTTAGGTATTGATTTTAGGTAGTCAGAGGGGAGAGGGGAACACAGCTTTATCAAGCCACTATCTGTATCGAACTTCAGAGTCGATGTTCAAAGAATGAGGCCTGCGAAGGGGACACGAGAAACTATTCTCGAGAGCAAAGCAACAGGCCTTTCATGTCAAATCGAAAAATACAACCAAGTGAAGCACAATCATGCACCCATGCACGCCCACCCCCTACCCACACACTCTGATGAGACTCAACATCCAGGGAGAGAGAGAAAACTGTGTGAGTCTGGAGTTGCACGGGAATGCAGACAGGGACATCCTCTCCAGCAGATGCCAGCCAAAGCGGGTGTGATGGGCAGGGAGGGCTTGAATGGTTCAGCGTGAAAATCCCCCACTTGATTGTACGATATCTGAAGCACAGCCTCAGTTCCTACTCAATTCCAACCGGGAAAAAAAACATGCATTCTTTAAGAACTCTTCTCGAAAAACAAACAGCAACAGCTCTTCTTGAAAAACAAAGAGCAACGGCTCTTCTTTCCACGCCCAGTTTCAGCTGCCTAAATCCCCCGCCCTCACCCAGGACCTGTCCCTTGAGCTGGGAGGAGGATCTCGGGGCTCACAGCAGAAGGCAGGAAAGAAAAGTGACCTTTGGCACCAGCTTTGAGACGTCCTGAAAAGGGTCATTTGGACAAACTCTGCTGCCTGCCGAGTTTCCAAATGGTTTCATCTGGGCACGAGACCCCCCCCGCCCCACCTACCCCAGGGTTTGAGGCAATGACAAGAAACCAACAGGCTGAGACGACAGGTCCCATGCTTTCCATCACCACAGAAATGTCACGGAGGCCATGAAGGGAAGGCCAGGACAAAGTCCACTCTTCCGACTTCCCCAAGGCACTGGCAGAGTGCCGGGCACAAGGCAGACGCTCCAAGACAGTGTACAGGCAGCTCTGGAAGCAGCAGCTGGGAGTGAGGCCTTGCTCGGGCCACTGTCCCCACCTGGGAAGAGCAGGGACAGTAATGCAAGTGCTGGGGAAGGACGCCAGGTGTTCCGCTCCCCACCTTCAGAGGCTCCAAGCCCCCCCAGGGCAACACACCCCAACATCTACGTTCCTGAAGAGAAGGTGTGACGCTCAGGTCACACTTCCGCCATCAAAAAAGTGCAAAAGCCAGCAGCTCCAGGAAAGTGTGTCTCAGCTCCCCCCAAGTCCAGGTTGGAGGAGAGAGGGGCCCTGGAGGGCCCAGTTCTCATATTTCAGCAAAATACTTCCCTCTCCCCGGGCAGCCAGCCTGCCCTTGAACATCTTTGGAGGCAGAACGCAGGCCTGGAAGGTGTGTGGACCCGCGGGACAGCCGAAGTGTGGACCACCCAGCCAACTGGCATATCGGCTCAGGGACTTCTTGAAGAAGATGCCCCAACCCAACACCTATCCAAGTCCATTCCCATGAAGCGTCTTCCCTGAAGCGTCTTCCATGAAGCGTCCCATGACGTCCCAAGACGCTTCCCATGAAGCGTCTTCCATGAAGGTCAAGATGCATCAAACAGCCACGTGGAAGTTTTTACCCATTCCTTGACCTTCAGCCACTAGGAGCTTGCCTCCTTTAATTTTAGGATTCTGCCACCAGTGTGGTCTTCCCAGCTCCAAATGTGCCAGGAGATCACAGAAACAAAATAAAATGGCACAGTGTCCCCAGCGGCCTCTTGTCAGGACCAGCACTCATCACTCTCCCCAGGCCTCGTAGGTCTCCGAAGCTGGACACTCCTAGGAAACCCAGAGAGTAGAGGTTGGGGCCCCGTGGCTAAAGGCAGGGTGCCAGGGACCCACGTGGCTTTCCGGTGTCCAGCGGCTGAGGGGACACAGAGGGTGCCAAGCATGGTTCTCTTCGGCCAAGGCTCCCCCGCTGCTCCATCCCACCCTCTCCAGAAGAAGTCCTCAGGATACGTTGCGCCTCGGGCAGAGGGCAGGACACAAGCTAAGCTGCAGAAATGGAAACGGAATGGAACCAACACGTCTGCTTCAGTGTTTCCTGGAGGAGTCGGCGCTGCTCCGGGAGCCTTTCATGTTCTGTTTTCAGGAGAAAAGAAAGGTGGGGAGGGAGTCAAGGTTTGCAGCTGGCTGGCTTCTAAAGCAGAAGACGCCGAGTCATGCAAGGGAGAATTCTTCCCTCCCTCCATCCCAGACAAAGAGCAGGACCCAAGAAAGGTGCTGCCAATCCCACAGGCGGCAGACAGCCCAGGTGGGCCCCAGAACATGATGGAAGATAACCCCAGAGTCTCAGAGAAGGGGCTGGGCGCCAGGCCAGGAGCCCGCCTGGTGGGGGCCGTGTGGCTCCGGGAGGACCGTGAGCTACGCAGTGCTAGGCGCCGGGGACCACAGGAGCCTCATGTTCATGACCCCATAGAAATCCCACAAGGGGAACCTCACGGGCCTCAGCCAGGCAGATGAGCCTGGGGCCTCCAAAGACACACAGGCCCCTCCTCTCAACTCAGCCCACAGCAGAGCCACACTCCCAGCTCCTGCACCCAGATTCTGGGAACACAGCTTGACAGGCAGAACACAGGTGATACATGGAATGGCTGGACATGGTGGGGAGGCCCAGGCGGGAAGCCAGGCAGAGGGGGCTGTCGCTAAAACCCTGCCCCACTTCTGATCACAATGGCCCTCGCAGGGAGTCCCACCCCTAAGGCACTGGCCAGTACCAACTCCCCCCCAAAAACATGTTCCGGTATTAGTGGGGAACATGACTGACTGCAGCCACTGCACAGCAGGCCTCCTTCCCCGACCTCCTTCACCTACGCCTCAAAAAACAAGAAAACATACAATGTTTAAAACTATTCTCTCCAATCCTCAGTGTCTCCACCCAGACTGCTCTAAAGACGGTGGGAGAGCCCAGGCACACAGGGCCACCACGGCCCATGCCCACCCCACACAGAACTGGGGGTCCAAGGCTGCAGCCATCCACAGGGAGGAAAGTCACAGGGCTGGGCAGCATCAGAGCTCTCGCCCAGGCCTGCGCTGGACTCAGGAACCCAGGTGATGGGTGCCCGCTGGGAGGTAATAGGTGCCCGCTGGGGGGTGATGGGTGCCTGCCGGGAGGTGATAGGTGCCTGTCAGGAGTGATGGGTGCCCACTGGGGGATGATGGGTGCCCACTGGGGGATGACAGGTGCCTGCCAGGGGATAACAAGTACCTGCTTGGAGGTGATAGGTGACTGCCAAGGGGTGATGGGTACCCATTGGGGGTTGATGGGTGTCTGCCGGGGGATGATGGGTGCCTGCTAGGGGGTGATAAATGCCTGCCGGGAGGTGATAAGTGCCTGCCAGGGGGTGATGGGTGCCATCAGGGGATGATGGGTGCCTGCCAGGGGGTGATAGGTGCCTGCCGGGAGGTGATAGGTGCTGCCAGGGGGTGATGGGTGCCATCGGGGGATGATGGGTGCCTGCCGGGGGATGATGGAAGTGATGGGTGCCTGCCGGGAGGTGATAAGTGCCTTCCAGGGGGTGACGGGTGCCCAACGGAGGATGATGGGTGCCTGTCGGGGGTGATGGGTGCCTGCCGGGGGGTGATGGAAGTGACGGGTGCCCACCAGGAGGGGGCAATTCTCTCCAGAGAGCCCTGGGTCCTCACATCTAGGGAGAGCCCCAGCCGGGCTGTGGGATCAGAGAGCAGGGCTGACATTTCCCTCCACATCCGCTGGCTCCGACCTGTCCTCACCACCACCAGCCCACGGCTTCCGGCACCCACAGATGATGGCGATGCAACAATGACAGTGGAGAGCCTGCAAGACCGGGTGACGTCCACGTCCTTCACCCAGGGGCCCCGGCTCAGGACACGTGGGGGGTGAGAGACAGACTAGAAAGGACCTCACGACAATGGTGCTGCACTTCACACCCTCGGCATGGAGACAAATGAGCCCCGCACTGCACGATGGCCAGTCTGCACACAGACCCAGGTGCCGTGACGCGGTGCAGAACGGAGGGACATGCACCCAGGCATTTACCTTCCACGGTTAGTAAGGAGAAAACTTTGAGAAAATGTGACAGACAGTTCGTCTTTCAAGCAGAGTGGGGAAGAGGAAGAAACAGGTTGGAAAAGGAAAAAAAAAAAAAATCTTTAGTAGGGTTTTCTAGTGTGCATTTGAAATTTTAAAAATGAAGGTTGCATCACAAATGCCAGGTGCTCTCTCGATCCCAAGCAGCCGGCACAGCCCCCAGGAAGGCACTGCAGAGCGCCGGGTCCGGACAGTCGTTCACCCCCATTTTACTGGGAAACCAAGATCACAGGGGTCAAAAGACTCTAGGCCAGGTGCAGTAGCTCACGCCTGTAATCCCAGCACTTTGGGAGGCCGAGGTGGGTGGACCACCTGAGGTCAGGAATTCGAGACCACCCTGGCCAACATGGTGAAACCCCATCTCTACTAAAAATACAAACATTAGCCAGGCGTGGTGGTGGGCGCCTGTAATCCTAGCTACTCGGGAGGTTGAGGCAGGAGAATCACTTGCACCCGGGAGAAGGAGGCTGCAGTGAACCGAGATTGCACCACTGCACTCCAGCCTGGCAACAAGAGCAAAACTCCGTCTCAAAAAAGAAAGATTTCAGGCCACTGCCTTGAGACCCCAGGGGTTTCCCCTTCCCAAGTCTGAGTGTTCCTGCTGCCCCAGAGAAGAAATCCCTCGGGTTACAGAAGGGTATCCAAATGCTGACCCAATGCCAGCAAGCCCAGAAGTCTCCACAGGCCCAGGGCACCAAGTTCCTCCCTGACAAGAACAGCACCGCCGTCTGCCATGCACTTCCTAGGAGCCAGATGTTCTGCTAAGTCCTGTATCTAGAGTCTCATTAGGAAACCTTTATGAAGTTACTATCTCCATATTACAGATGAGGAAGCTGAGGTCCTAGAATTGCTTTAACGTGCCCGTGCCAAGGACAGAGGCCAGGAGGAGTAGAACCAAGACGCAGACCTGGCTCCGTCTGACTTTCATCATAAATTCTGGTCACAGAGCCCAGGTGGACTCCTAGAATCAGATGTGGCTACAATCCTAGAGGTGGGGTCACGCACCCAGAATGGACGGGACAATGGGACTCCAGAGTGAAATTCCGACCTGAGTCAGGTGCGATGGGTCCACAGGATGTATTTTTGCTGAGCAGGAGGGATTCTAGCAAAGGCACTATAATGTCAGTCTTGGAGATGGACAAGATCAGCTTTAGCGGGTCGGAGGCTATCCCTGAATGGTTCTTCCTAGTACAAAGATTTCTTTCCTGGCAACATCAGGCCACGGGTCTAACGCAGGGGTCCCTAACCCCTGGGCTGTGGACCAGTACCCAGTCCATAGCCCATTCGGAGGCAGGCCACACAGCAGGAGGTGGGCGGTGGGCGGGCCAGCCAGCACTAACACCCGACTCAGAGGAGCATATATGAACCCTACGGTGAACTGTGCACACGAGGGATCTAGGCTCTGCGTTCCTTCTGAGAATGTAATGTCAGATGATCTGAGGCAGAACAGTTTTATCCCCAAACCATCTCCCACCCTGCTGTGGTGGGGAAAATTCTCTTCCATGAAACGGGTCCCTGGTGCCAAAAAGGTTGGGGACTGCTCGGCTACAGAATCAGGACACGCACAGATATAAAACCTTCAGGCTCTAAATGCAAAGGCAGGTTTCCCACAAGGAGAAGCCCAGATCCTGAAGTGCTGCACACCGGCCCGGCACATCACAGACACTGGCCCGGCACCTCACAGACACTGGCCCTGAGGATGCAGGGCGTGCCCCCAGAAGCTGGAAGTTAAGGGCAGGCCCACCTTAGGTAAGCAAAGCCTGGCTGTGGGAAGCAGCTGCAAGGGAGTGGCTGTGGGGGGACACGAGGGTCCAACAGCTGCCTATGCCTTGCAGGCTGCAGGGCAGGGGCCTCAGGACAGCGGCAGGGAAAGGTGAACCCTGCTGGAAGCACGGGGCAGTCACTCAGCCCCTCACCCATTAAATGGGGCACTGACTGTCCTTCCGATCTCTCAGGGTGGTCTTAAGGAACGTGGGCATGGGGGACACTGGCATACCCTCTGGCCCTTCACCCCTTCGCCACCAAAATCTGAGTGCCATGCCCAACCTCTCCCGTTTCCAAAACCCAGCCATGCTTTTCAGTCTCAGGCTGCACTCCTCATTACACCTCTCCAGTTTCTGCATAAAGTAGCAAACGTAACTTAAGGAGCAAAGAGGAAATAAAGGGGAGGTGTGTTTTTGGGGGGGCACGAGGGTGACACTTCATGGTGGCTGTCATCAAGGTTCTGTGGCAGAAAGGCCCCTGCTCCCGGTGGGGGCAGGATCCCAGAGTGGTGGGAACACAGCCCCAGCTATGCAGGGGCTGCGAGAGCTAAGACTGAACCTGAAACTCTGCAGAGAGCTCTGGGAGGAGCAGAGGTGACCCCATGGGTTAGAGATGGAAGCCGCACCCAGCCCTGGGTGTGACTATGACGCTGAGCAGGCTCCACCCCAGGACAAACGGATCCTCAAGAAGGGCTCCACTTGGAACTCTTTCGGGGCATGGGGGGTCCTCATGGGGAGGGAGAGGCTCAGAGCTCAGGCCCCAGCACACTCCCACTATTCACACAGGTTTGTTTTACAGATTAGGCTCTGAGTAAGTTTTCCTTTCAAAACAAAAGACACTCCTGGGGCAGGAGGGGGCTTTAGGGCTAATGGCACCTGGCGCAGATGCAGCTCGCCACCGAGGTCTGATTCGGAGAAGGAAATGTGGACTTATGCTGAGCCCTAAACCACGGCCATTACAAACCGCGACCTGCAGCCCTGAGAGGGTCACGGAGAAGCCAGCTGTCGTGCGGCGGTGTTGGAACACACGCAACCGTAGTGGAGCCACCACCACCTCCTGCACCCTTTTCTAAAAACATCCAGGAATCTCCCCTCCCTGCTCCCACGCCCATCTCCTCCTTCCCCGTGAAGACCTCGGATCACAAAACTGCTCTCATCCTCAATATTTTAACAGGCAGGAGGCCAACTGAGCAAGCAGGAAGAAAGCGGTGAAGCAGCAGCAATGATCGGAGAGATACTTACAGACAGGCTTGCCCTAGCAAAGGCTGCGGAGGAGAAGCAGAGAGAGAATCAGTCAGGAGGCGTGATCTGCAGGGACAAAGCCCTGCAAAACCCCAGGCCGGCCCAGCCAGCAGCTTCAGACGTCCCTAAGAACCTGGCCAGCCTGAAGGACTGTCCTCCCGACACCAGGGGCAGCTCTGAAGCGGACGGGAGGATGCAGCCCCTGCCACTGCGTCCTCCACGATGGAGGTCTGTGCAGATCAGGATGTCAACCCCCTTCCCCAGCCTGGTCCCCCCAAGCATCAAAGCAGCGGCCTCTGAACTTCCAAATACAACTGCACATTTCCATCAGAACGGACGCCACAGGGACACCATTTCCGTTCTGCTGGCTTTTCATGAAAACCCTCAGATCTGAGACCCGCCAGGGAATATTTATGGGGGCTCTCCCAGTCCTGCCCCCGTCATGTGGAAAGCTAAGGAGACTGAGGGCCTGGGAGGAGAAGAATCTGAGCGATTACATGCTGCACTCATGTTAGTGTTGAACTACCACCAAAGCCAGGCCTCCAGGCTTCCGCTAATCACAGCCACCTCACCGTGTCTACGTGTCCCCACCGTGTCTACGTGTCCCCACCACGTGCCCGCCACTGGGCCTGATGCAGGGCACGAATCCCCCCATCTGATCTGCATTCTGCACTGCCACTGTTCCCCCATTGCCTGGATGAGAAAACTGAGGCCTGCAGAGGTTAAGTGACCTGTGGAGGCTGCGGCATCTTGCAGGTCACATTCCAGACACCACCAGGTCTAAGGAAGTCTCGGAAAAGGCGGGAAGAGGGGGCAGACTGAAGAGGATGCTCAGAGCCGGCAACAGCATCCGGCTCATCAACAAACCTGACCGGACGCTGCACTAGGCTGATTTGTGGGGCCAGGCCTGGTGGGTGGAGGTGGGACAGACCCTTGGGTGGTACCTGAATTTGAGCCCAGAAATTTCTACATCTCACATATTTGCAAGGGTTCCTGGCTCTAAAGGAAAAGACCAGTTTTCTGAAAACAAATCAATGTCTAATAACCAAAATCTTCCAGCCTGTAACCTTCAAAACTAATGAAATAAGTGAAATCAGGTTGGGGTTTTTTTTTTTTTCCTGAGACAGGCTGGAGTGCAGTGGCGCCATCTCGGCTCACTGCAACCTCCGCCTTCCAGGTTCAAGCAATTCTCCTGCCTCAGCCTCCTGAGGCTGGGATTACAGGTGCCTCCTCAGCTGGGACTACAGGTGCCCGCCACCACGCCCGGCTAATTTTTATATTTTTAGTAAAGACAGGGTTTCACCATGTTGGCCAGGCTGGTCTCAAACTCCCGACCTTGTGATCCGCCCGCCTCGGCCTCCCAAAGTGCTGGGATTACAGGCGTGAGCCACCGCACCCAGCCTTGTTTAGGTTTCTCACTAGCGCTGGGATAACCGTGTTATTTATGGGAGAAAGTGGCCACTCTCTTTGTTTTAGAAATAACCATTCACGAATGTGAACGGGTCTTGGACATCTCACTCTTCCCTCTGCACTGCCTGCTTCTGCCCTGTAAAGACCCCATCCTCAGAAAGGAGGCGAACGCAGTCACAGTTGTCACCAGCAAGGAGAGTCCCCAGGGCCTCAACTTCAGAGGGTGCTTCTCATGTTCTCCCTCAACACACACGTGTGTGCACATGCTCCCGTGACACACGTGCACAGACACCTACAACACACACATGCACACCCACACACACGCACCCACGCATTCCTGCAAACACACACGCAATCGCAGATCTGCGGCGTCACGCCCGGCACGCGTCCCCCAGGCAGGAAGGAAAGGGGAGTGCACTGACTTGTCCGGGCAGCTGCGTGGGCACCTCCGGGGGCAGGCAGCTGGGCAGGGCGGCCGAGGTGGAGGCCACATGCTCCTCAAAGCTGTTGATGCGAGGCTTTTTGGTGGGCTCGGGGCTGGCTAGCGGGGTGACACTATTGCGTCTCATGAGCGGGTTAGGTCCCTTCTTTGCATCCTAAGCAAGACAAAGACAAAAGAGAGAAAGGCGACAGTTACAAAGAAGGGGAGGAAAATTAGCCCCAACAAAGTTTATCTGCTCCTGGATTTTAGGGAGGCAACAAGACTGACCAAGGGGAGTGGCCGGGACCATGGACCAGAGACCGCGGACCAGGGACTGTGGACCAGGGACCACAGACGACGGACCAGAGACCACGGACCATGGACCAGAGACCACGGACCAGGGACCACAGACCAGGGACTACGGGCTGCTGAGTGTGTGGCAATTCCCCAGCAACAAGAATGTGGGTGATTCCCTCCCATGCCCCTTCCTCGGATGGTTCCAAAGGATTCCCCACACAGACAAACACGGTGCTTGCAAAGCAAGGAGGGAAAGAATGATAATCACAGCAGAGCATGAGGTCGGAGAAAAGAGCTTTGCTTCCAGCCTCTCTGAGAGCTGAGGACGGGCATCTAGGAGGGACAGGCTGGGCCTGAGGCTCCCAGGATGGGGAGGGGAAGGCACCTGTGCTGACTGCCTTCCGCCGACCTGAGGCCATCTGTACTCCACAAAGGGCACCCTGGCTCAGGATGGGGCACGGAGGCTACAAAACCAGCCTGGAAACCAAAGGGGCAGAAACCTCGCAGCAGGAAGCAGGTTCTGCCGGCCAGGACCAGACCCGGCCCTCCCACGGGAGGGACAGCGTGATGGGGTGCGGGCCTCCAGCCTCAGAACCGGGGTCTGTCTCCGTCATGGCCCTGCCCCATTCCCTGCAGGGAAGAGCCCCAGGACCGGCTCAGGCCCAATCCCATAGCTGGGGCAGTGGTTCCCTGACCGGGGCTGTTGTCATATGGCTAAAGGCAGGACAGCATCCAGTGACCCACATTCCGAAGGGGAGGGGGTGACAGGGACCAAGGCGGCCAAGGGACCCCGTCCTCTCTCAGGTCAGCCCACCAGCCAGGCAACTGCCAACGACTGGGCAGACACCTCATCCCTTCATGCCAAAATCTGACGGCCAAGCTTCTTGGGACAAGGACAGTCACCTGTTTTGGGAATGCCATGATGGAAAGTCACGCTCGGTCTAAGAGAAAGGTCTGACTAGTACTAGCAAAGTGTTGTACTTTTGGCAGCCTGTACACCGTGAATTCAAACTCACTTTCACAACGCACATCCACCTGGGCAGAGGTCCACTCTACTCAGTCAGAGGCAGCCTGGCCCACCTCCAAATGTCAGGCCTCCCCACAAGGTAGAGAGCAGCCGCACGGCCAGGCCTCGAGGTCTCCCGAAACACCTGCCCACCCGCCATCCCCCAGGCCTCCGCTCTCCACGCCACTCCTCTTTTAACACCGTGTTCTTGGCGGTTCTGAGCCTAATGACATGCGCGTGGCGGCGCTGACCTGCTGCTCCTGTTTGAAACAGTAACTCTGGAGACTGAAAGCACGGGTTTTAGCTGCCAGAAAGGAAAGGCACCAAGAACTGTGCTATGCTGATGTTAAAAGAGAACAGAGGCTGGGCACAAAGGCTCACACCTTTATCCCAGCACTTTGGGAGACTGAGGCAAGAGGATCACTTGAGCCCAAGAGTTCAAGACCAGCCTGGGCAACAAAGCGAGACCCCCATCTCTAAAAAAACGAATAAATTAAAATTAGCTGGGCATGGTGGTGCGCACCTGTAGTCTCAGCTACGCGGGAGGCTGAGGTGGGAGGATCGCTTGAACCCAGGAGGTTGAGGCTGCAGTGAGCCGTGATTGCGCCACCGCACTCCAGCCTGGGGAACAGACTGAGACCCTGTCTCAAAAAAAAAAAAGAAAAGAGAGAGAACGTATCTTCCTCACTAAAATTCACATCTCGAGCTCAGCAGAAATGGGAAGAAGAGGACACAGGAAGGAAGAAAAAAAAAGAAAAGGCCACAGAACAGATGGGCAGGAACACAGAGGTGCTGAGGAAGGCAGCCAGCAGACCCATGGCCACATACAGGCCAGCACCTGCAGGCAAGCGGCCCTGGGGCCTCCTGAGCACCCATCACCCAACTAGGGCTATCGTGTGATGATGGCCAGGATGAGGCTTGGGGCCTCCACTCACCTCTGACCTCTCCCGGTGCGTGCTGACGGACTCCACATTCAGGTAGATAGATTCCACACGGCAGCCTGGAGGGCGTGGGATGGGGGCAGAGGAAGCTGCTGTTAAAGGGACAGCCCCGCTTACAGCCCACGGCCACAAGAAGCTGCTGTGGCCACCTTCAGGGGGATAGGGCTTGGCAGGGGTTGCTACTCACCATAAGCGACAGGCGTCAGTTTCAGGACAGTGTGAAGCGGGCATTTCAGGTAGGGCATCTCCTCTGAAATGGAAATTGTACACCCACAATTAGAAATGAGACACAGCCAGGCGTGGTGGCTCTGGCCTATAATCCCAGCACTTTGGGAGGCCGAAGCAGGTGCATCACCTGAGGACAGGAGTTCGAGACCAGCCTGACCAACATGGCAAAACCCAATCTCTACTAAAAATACAAAATTAGCCAGGGTGTGGTGGCATGTGCCTGTAATCCCAGCTACTCAGGAGGCTGAGGCAGGAAAATCGCTTGAACCCGGGAGGTGGAGGTTGCAGTGAGCTCATGCACTGCACTGCAGCCTGCGCAACAAGAGCAAAACTTTCTCAAAAAAAGAAATGAGACATGAGGGTGGGGGAGGCATAGAAAGACCTCTATGGTCCCCTCACAAGGACCCTCGGAAGCACTGTCGGGCCGGGGCATCTGTCCCCAGCCACAAGCTGCCCCGGGCAGCAGATGGCCCTAGAAGAAGACTTTAGCCCAAAGAGCACCATCAAACCAAACCAAAACACTCGCCCTCACAATGACTTAAGAGTTGGGAAAAAAAAGTCACTCCCAAACAATGTAGGTCTGTCTAGGGATTCAGCTGCACTGGATTGGACATGCTAAGACTTAACATTTCAATCTGATTGTCAGAGTTTTCTGGGCTGTTTGTTCCTTAGAGGGTACTGAAGAGAAGAGCAGGCCCTACCCCAACACAAGACCCTGGGATGTGTGGAGCCGGGGGTGGGTCTCGGGGAGCTGTTTATGAAGCAATGAAGTCCCAGGCATCAACCTGGGCTCCACGGCATTTCCCGAGGGCTTCAAGGAAGCACTGGACAGAGAGGACCTGAAGCAGCCAGGAGCTGACACCTGTGCCCTTCTCCTAACACCCCATGGCACAGCAGCCAACACAGGACAGGCCACGGCAGGTCTGCAGCTGACCCCTCGAGTGCCAGTCCCCTCCTCCCTCCATCCCAGGACCGCGGCCTGCCCGAGGTACCTGCGCTCTTATCCAGGAAGTAGGCCAGCAGGCAGCGCAGGACGGCCTGGTGGCAGATGACCAGCACGTTCTCCTGCCGCTCCAGCTCCATGATCACCGGCTCCAGGCGCTGGACCAGGTCCTGGTAGGACTGAGCACAGAGGGCCGGGCCCACGTGAGCTCAGGGCACTCGGGAGGGGCTCTGCCGCTGGCCATGGCCTGCATCAGACCGGCCAGAGAGCCATGTAAAATCAATCACCCATCATCAGCAGTGGTTGAGAAGCGGCAGGGTTTAACGTGGACTACTGCTCAGCCATCAACAGAGTGAAGCCCTCCCCCGCTCCCACACGGGGGAACCTGAAAAAGCCAATGCTGTGTGACAGAACCGGGCCCAAAGGCATGCGTGGCATCTGATTCCATTTACGTGGAATGCCCAGAATAGGCAGATCCAGATGCAGGAAGCAGACGGGCCGGTGCCGGGGCTGGGTGGGGCAGGCGGGAGCGGCTGCTGACAGATCTGGGCTTCTTTGTGCAGCGAGGGAAAGGCCTGGAATATGTGGTGATGGCTGCACGGCACTGTGAGTACACTAAAATGCACTAGATCATAACTTTAACCTGATGAAAATGGTCCATTTTATGTGATGTGTATTTTCTATCAATTTAAAAATGTAAAAAGCAGCATAAGGGCTGTGACTTTAGAAAAAGACCAGAAAAGGCTCTCTGCTGTGCTAACCAGGGCCCCGGTGTATAAAGCCCAGTCTGAGGCCAGAGGACAGTAGGGCACAGAGGCCTGAGGCACGACACTGCTCAGCAGGGCACGAGCAGGGAGGACACACGCGGGCAGGGAGGACACACGCGGGCAAGGAGGACACACCCGGCCTAGGAGGATCCCATCTGTAGAGGAGGCAGCAACATCCTCAGCCACAGCCACCGGGCACCGTGCTTGGGGAGGCACAGATGCTGCCCAGGGGATGTAGAGCCACCCCTCCTGCCAGCCTGCCCACCACCCTGCCCAGTAGACCATCACACACCACCTTCCTCCTCTCCCACACGGTTCTAGGTCCCTAGGGAAACATATCTCATTTCTGCTTATGGGAAAATGCACTTCTCCCCAGGCTGTTAGAAGGTTCAGTTTGGGGGGACTCAATTCCGAGGTGGAGGGTGTAGGAGCCCCCAGAACCCACACGGAAGCGAACTCCCTGGAGGGGTGGCCCAGCCCTGCACAGCAGTGGCCGTGTGCGCTGGGGTCCCTCAGCCCGCCCCGGCCTGCGCTCACCTCCCCGGTGGGGTAGCGGTAGTAGTACTTGTCCTGCTCCCGCAGCGCGTACTCCTCAGGGTAGGTGTCCCTGATCTCCTCGTAGGTCAGCTCCTCACAGACGCCCTGTGGGGACACAGTGGTCACTCAGGGGAACAAACCACAGGGGTGTCTAGGGCCTCTTGGGAAGCCGTCCCATGCCCGCCTCCCGGGACTCACCGCGTCGATCTCATTGAGCGCCTTCCACTGCTCATACGGCAGCCGCAGCGCCTCGGCCGTCTGGATGGTGCTCTTCAGCTGGCTGGTCCACACGCGCAGGTCCTTCAGGTTCTGCTCCTCCACGAACTTGCTCAGGGCACTGGCAAACTGAGAGGTGGTGGAGAGGGGCCACTCATTCCAGATGCCCGCAGCTCCTCCAAGAGCCAGGGGCTGGAGCAGGCAGCCCACGTGGGGCTGTGCACCACCTGCTTACACCGTGGGGGCCCCAGGCCACTCGAACAGCCACAGTAGCACACACCCTCCCCAGAGACCAGGCTCAGCTCTTCCTGTCCCTCCCCTACCTAGTGCACAATTGCTCACACATCACACACACGTGCAGAGATACACACACCACACACAAATACACACACACATACATACAAAGTAACACAAAGACACACACACACACAAAGCCACATGGATAGGCATAGACACAGAGAGAGAGAGAGCGCCATACAGAGATGCACACAGATATGCATAGAGACACGCAGGCACACACACAGATAACACACACAGCAGGCATACCAAGTAGCAGCAGCAGCAGCGCACACCTCCCCACCCACCCTGCAGACCCTGCAACCGCCCTGCACCCAGAATGGCCCAGGCCGCAGCACACCCCGCACCTTCTTGCCCCGGCTGGACAGGCCCGAGTCGCCCCCGATGCGGCCCTGGAGGTTGTGCTCGTTCTCGCCGTGCCGGCACAGGTAGATGGTGCGCGGCTGCACGTGGATGTTCATCAGGTAGTACACGATGCGGCTCTGGATGTGGTCCTGCACCCGGTTCACCAGGAACCTCCGGCCCACGTCAATCACCTTGATCAGCGACAAGTCCCTGCAGAGACCCCACGAAGGACCACAGCTCAGGCCACTGCCCACAGCAGGACGCACCCGGCCTGGCCTGGCCGGTCTCCAGAAGATGCGTTCCCCAGGGAACAGCAAGGCAGGACTGTAGGCCCCTCCAGAGCACAGACCGAATCCTTCTAAGGGGCAGAGTATGTGCGTGCGGCAACTCCCACAGCTGGTGTCTGGCTGTGAGACTGGCTTGCCTCCCAGAAAAGGGGGAGAAAAAATAAAGAAAATGGAGATAAAAAGAAAGGGGCCTATGCGTGGCTCATGCCTATAATCCCAGCACTTTGGGAGGCTGAGGCAAGAGGATTGCTTGAGTCTAGGAGTTCAAGACCAGCCTGGGCAACATAGCAAGACCTCATCTCTACTAAAGAAAAAAAAATTAGCTGGGCGTGGACACCCACACCTGTAGTCCCAGCTACTCAGGAGGCTGAGGCAGTAGGATTACTTGAGCCCAGAAGTTTGAACCTGCAGTGAGCTATGATCATGCCACCACACTCCAGCCTGAGAGACCCTGTCTCTAAGCAAGTAAGCAAGTAATAAGTAAGTAAGTAAGTAAATAAGTAAATAAATAAATGGAAAGAAAGTAAAGGAAAGAAAAAAGAAAGGAACTATCAGAGGGACAGTAGCAAGATCAGCCTTAACTCTATGTTGACTTCCTGTACTTCTACAGTGTTCAAAATATTCCCACTGAATATGGTTTGTCATCAAGGATTGTTTTTAAAAGATATTTTCAAAGAGAATTGATAAAGGTATCCAGCAGCTGTGTGTGAATCACCTGAGGCCAGGAGTTCAAGACCAGCCAGGGCACCATAGCGAGACCTCATCTCTACAGAAAAAACTGTCTTAAAAAAAAATTTTGTTTTTAAGGTATCCAGGAGCACATGCTTTGTGGGAACATCAAGAATGCAATAAGAACTCTCATGTGGGTCTGCGGAGATGGCCAGCCATGGGAATCACCTGTCGCATTTGTCGGGGTCCAGGGGCTGGTAGCTGGCTTCATAGCAACTGATCCTCTTCATGAAGTCGTCCATGGCTTCTGCGGAGTTGCAGTCTTTGTAATCCGGGCTGGAGATTTTAACTTCCTGCAACACCACAAAGGGCGGCTGATGAATCACGCGGGAAGGCTTTCTGCCGAGATTAAGCAGGATTTGGGGCTTTCAAAAGGGGAGCGCACAGAAGCCTCAGTACAAAGATGAGCCGGCCCAGCATGTAAGAGAAAGGGAAAAAGATCCTGGGGGCTGAGTCACAGCCTGATGTTACATGGGGAGGATTCCCTGGGGAGATGGAGAACTGCAGCCGGAAGGACAGAGACAGGAAACCCACAGGGATTCCATAAAGAACACCTCTGAATGCTCCAGCAAGTCAGGATCTGTCCCGTGCTGGAGTCACCGCCAGACAGACTGGCGCTGAACTCAACCGAGCTCCACGTGGGCACCCGCAATGCTCCCCGCGCCGGGAGGAGGCTGCTGGTTCTAAGGTGCGCTCAGGAGTTCCCAGAGATGCCTCTGGCCTTGTGTGGCTTCTCCTCCACCCCTCCACCACCCGAGGCAGCCCCAGTGTGACCAGTCTGTGGTTAACTGCTTCTCCAACTAGGGCTGTGCCTGCTCCTTTGCAGGGCTCGCTCTCCCAGGCAACAACACAGGTCTACCAACACCCACAGTGGCACAGGCCCCAGAAACCAGGTGGATTTTAGGGAAACAGCATTTCTGAATGCCTGGGCTCTTTTTCTCATCAACCACTGCTGTCACTGAGAGGCAGCCACTCTTCAAAGACTCAAGTCAGTGGGGAGTTGTGTCTCTGTCCTGGCAGAGTTTCAGCTGGGGAAGATGAGAAAGTCCTGGGGATAGTGTGTGGCGGTTGCCCAACAATGCGAATATAATTTGCTGCTGAACTGCGCATTTAAAAAACGGCTAAGATGGCGGGGTTTGGTGGCTCACGCCTGTAATCCCAGCACTTTGGGAGGCCAAGGCGGGCAGATCACTTGAGGTCAGGAGTTTGAGACCAGCCTGGCCAACATGGTGAAACCTCTGTCTCCTCTAAAAATACAAAAAAATTAGACGGGCATGGTGGCACACGTCTGTTATCCCAGCTACTCAGGAGGCTGAGGCAGGAGAAATGCTTGAACCCAGGAGGCAGAGGTTGCAGTGAGCCAAGATCGCACCACTGCATTCCATCCTGGGCAACAGGAGACTCCATCTCAATAAATAAATAAATAAATAGAATGGTTAAGATGGTAAATTTTACATTATGTATATTTTACCACAATTTAAAAAAAAATCTAAGTTCACAAATGCCTGGATCTACAAAGCTGCTTTGAGATTTCATCAGAAAGAGATTTCTGAACACGGCGGGTTGGGGCAAATGATTATCTGTTAGTGGACAACCAGACAAACGCTAAACTCCTTGCTAAGCACATCGGTGACCGCTCACTGGGAAAAATGACTTCACAGCTGCACCCTGCTGTCAACCGAGGGGAGCGAGGAGTGCCGAGCCCAAGAAAGGTGGCAAACCCTCTGTTTAGGTGATTTCCTCGTACTCTGAGCCTCCTCCTTTGCACCCACTGGACAAATCTAAACTGACTTTTCATAATTCAAATAGCCCTTCCTGAAACAGGAATTCATTTCCTAAAGATATCTAGAAATACGTCCACCACCGGGGCTAACACATCTAGAAATACGTCCACCACCGGGGCTAACACATCTAGAAATACGTCCACCACCGGGGCTAACACATGCTTAGCATCCCCTCTAAAGATGCAAAGATGCCGACACCACAGCGTCCCAGTGTACGTTTTCAGAACTGCTTTTCTTTATAGAATTGTCATATTCTAATATGTTTAAGCTGAAAATTGTCTCCAACACAGGATGGCGGCCTGCAGTAAGTTTCCATAGTAACAATTCCTGTTTATATATATTGCTATCAAGTGGCAACACTGGAGAAATTCATCAAGTTATGGTGCCAAGTGCCCTCAATTTATCTGGGCAAGCTCCCGTGCACAGCACAGACAGGAGGGTTCGTGGCAGGTTCACGAGGTGCATCAGCAGGAAGACAGCCTTACCTCCCAAACTTAGGGGGCTGCTGAGCCCTACGGACTCTTGCCACTGCCCAAGCATTCTTACCTCCCGGAGCCGTCAAAGCAAGCGACCCGCTGCTGCCTCCTGTCCCGCTGGGGGCAATGAGATGCCCTCTGCCCCGGCAGCCCCATCACCACTAGCTGTCAGTCTCCTGCCACCAACAGAAACTACTCCTGTCTCCCTGAATTATTTCCTACTTCCCATCCAAGCCTGCCCACTGCCCTAGATGGAGCTAGTCCCTCACAGGACACGTCTCTGGGTTAAAAACGGCTCTGTAGGTCTGACCTCCCAATCAACAGCCAACTGGGGGCCGCTCGTCCTAAGCGCTCAGTTGCGCTTCCGAGCCGGACCCGGTCCCCCACTTCCTCAGACCGCAAATGTCCTTGTGGTCTACACTGCTGCAGGAGCCTGGGGTTCCCGGCTGTCTTACCATGATATTGGAGGCCACAACTGTAGGGTCGTCACACACGGACTCGATGAAAAATGCCTGGCGGAAGTGAGGTGGGGATATTAGAAAACAAACACCATGAAGGACCAACCTTGCCATCACTGAGATGTCATCGTCCGGACAAGGTGGAAGCACGCCACCCACCAACTCCCAAAGACAGGAAAGGCCATCTCCTTACTGCCGCCTCCCGCCACCACTCCTCTGGGACACCCCACGGCCCCCAAGAGCCCTACCACACAAAGGCCCTAATTTAAGGCCGCAAAACGTGGGCAGCAGGAGAGGAGGGACTGAGCAGACTCAGGCTGCTTCCTGAGGCCTTTTCCTGTCTCCCGAGTCCTCTAGCACAACACAAGACGCTCAGCTCACCTTAAAGTCATTTTCTTTGGCAAAATGAAGGATCATGTGTCTCCTCTCTCTGGTCGTATTGGTGGCATCGAAAACCTGATGTGGAGAGCAAAGGGCCGAGAAGAAGACTCTAAGTTTGAGTTTAACAACGTTTACCAGAACAGCAAGGATGCCAGGCCCATCATCTCCAGCAATAAGCCCCAAAAGCGCTTCAGGGGAGCTGGTGCCTGCCCACAGTCCTCTCCAGGGCGCACCCACGGGGCAGGCCTCCCCCAACTACCAACAGCACTCAGGGGTGGTAGCATGGGAGGAATACCCCAAAAGCAAACAAGCAAAACAGTAACGTGCAATGGGACAGTGTACAAGGAAGGGCCAGTGGTCCTGTGGGCCACCCAGGTCCTGCCCGCCCTGGAGGTGGGGGACTGGCCGCAGAGGGTGTGGGTCCCTGAGTCCATCTCACATCCGCTTTCCTGAGCCACTGGGCTGCCCTGGTCCCCTGCTTTCCTCCACCCTCAGGGCCAGAGGCACCGGTCTCGGTACACCCCAGGCCAGTGAGGACACCCTCCTGGGTGGGACTGGACACTGAGCCGGCTACATTCCCTGGACTTACCGCAATTTGTCCCCCTTCTTTCGCCAGGTAGCTTTTGACATCTCTCAAGGCAGCTAAGGCACACTGCCTGGAATGCACAAGAGATGCCAAATGTCAGCGCTAGTGTATCCGCTGGGGCAGCCCAAGAAACCCCCGACGCACCCCGACAGGCAGAGTAACTGGTGGTTCCATTCTACACTGCTCAGCACTGGGCAGGCTGGCCAGCACCCCTCAGGCCCAGAGGCTACCAACCTGGGGCCCTGCACAGGTGGCTTCAGGCACCCTCGGGAGGTGGTGCTGGTGCCAGGCTGCACACGGGAACCACTCCTGGGGAGCTGCTAAGAAATGGCTGCCCAGAGCCACCCACAGAGTTGCACTAACTGGTCTGGGGTGGGGCCTGGCATCAGGGGTTTTAGCATCCCCCAGGAGACTCCAGCCCATGCAGCCGGGGCCAAACACCCTTGCACTGGGGTTTCACAATCAACTCGCACTTAACAAGAAATCCTTTCCAAACATAAACAGACACTGTTGGCAAACAGGACTTGCTAATTCTCAGTGAGGGTGCTTCTGTGGCTGTCCCAGTGAGGGTCAGCTCAGTGAGACCCTCAGGGAACAGATGAGAGCAACCTCAGAGGGGCAGGGGGGCTTGCTCCCACACTGCACAGCCCTGAGGGCCACCAACAGGAGCCACCCCGCAGGCCGGCTTTCTCTGCCTCCTACAGAGCCTGGCTCAGAACAAAGCAAGCTGAAGCCAGCAGCCCAGCCTTACTCCCCCGGCCCAGCCTTACTCCCGCGGCCCAGCCTTACTCCCGCGGCCCAGCCTTACTCCCCGGGCCAGCCTCACTCCCGCGGCCCAGTCTCACTCCCCCGGCCCAGCCTTACTCCCCCGGCCCAGCCTTACTTCCGGACTTTCATGGCTTCCTCATTGTCGGGGCGGAAGAAGTTGTAGGAGCTGTACTGCTTCACAGCCTCCCGGCGATACTCCCCGACGTTGAACACTGTGGACCGGAAAGAGGAGAACAGTCTGGATGATTGAGCAGGAGGAAGGGGCCAACTCACACTGGGATCGTGGGATCGACCAAAGGCAGAGCCACCCAGCCAACCACGCCGACTGAATGAGATGATACAACATGGAAGCAATGCCGGCACCCAGTCCTGCGCTACCCTCAACTCCTGAGGACAGCAGGCCACAGGCAGCCCGGCTTCCCCAGTCCAGCTGCAATGCCCCTGCCACATGCTCTGCAGTGCTGTCCCCTCCAGCCAAGTCTACAATCCCAGTCTCATCCCAGTCTCACGATATCCTAAACCAGAGACTGACACTGTGAAGATGGGTTGGGGGAGGCCCCAAGTCTAGCAAAAATAGGGACAACACATTTCCACCAATGGTATCAGAAAGTGAGTGGGGTCTCACGCCCACTGCCAGATCTAGGTCAGCCCTTCTGCTGGTGCAGCCGCCAGGGCCAGGGCCGGGAGAATGTGTTCCATGGTTCCTGGGCACTGAGCTGGGCACAGTGGGGATGGTAAACATAAAAACCATGCCCTCAAAAGAGGGGCGGGTGGGAGATGAGCAAGGGTTAAAAAATAACCAGTTGGGTACAATGTTCACTATCTGGGTAACAGTTCACTAGAAGCCCAATCCCCATCAATATGCAATATACTCAAGTAACAAAGAGGCACATGTACCCCTAATCTAAAATAAAATTAAAAAAAAAAAACCAGTGCCTATCCACCTATCCACAAGATGTGCACCATCTAGTTGGGAAGACCAAGCAGAGATTCTTAAATGCATCATCTACAACAGCGGTCCCCATCCTTTTGGGCACCAGGGACCCCTTTCGTGGAAGACAGTTTTTCCATGGACAGGGAGGGGCTGTGGGTGTATGGCTTTGGGATGAAACTGTTCCACCTCAGATCATCAGGCATTAGATTATCATAAGTGGCACACAACCTAGATCCCTCACATGCCCAGTTCACAACAGGGTTCACTCCTATGAGAATCTAATGCCGCCGCTGATCACACAGGAGGAGGAGCTCAGGTGGGAATGCTTACTCACTGCCACTCACTTCCTGGAGCCCGGTTCCTAACAGGCCACTCACATAGCAGTCCACAGCCCAGGGGCTGAAGTCCCTTCATCTATGGTATGCAGTGCTTAGGGCCATCAGCAGAGGAATGTTAGCTAGGACTGAGTGCCACAGGAATGTAAAGGACTGAGGTGGCCGGAGATGGTTTTGAAGGAGGTGAAATTTGAGTCAGGGCAGGATTTAGGGGAGTGGGAAAGAGAATGGCCAATGAGGAAAAAACCCCAACAGAAGAAGGGTGTACACACAGTGTGGAGGAGGACCCAACTGCACGGGAGGCAGGATCAGACTCCCCGACCAGGGGACAGATGTGCCTAGGGGTGGTCCTGCCTGTGAAACCAGCAACTGAGCTGGAAAGGTCAAGTTTTTGCATTTGCAGGGGACTGGCCTCGAGACCCAGCCTCACCTTTTGTGGGGACGCCAATCCAGTTGAGGTAGCGAGTCAGCTTCTTGGAGATGTAGGTCTTGCCCCTGGCGGGGAGGCCCACCATGACGATGACGGTGGGGGAGTTGGTCAGCTTTGGCCCACAGGCTGGAAAAACAAGCAAGAAGGGTGTGTCATGGACCAAGTGACCGGAGAAGAGGAGCAGAGGCCACGCCCAACAATAACGCTGAAGAATTTCACCAAAAATATTTTTGAGACAGGGTCTCACTCTGTTGCCCAGGCTGAAGTGTAGTGGCCACCAGAGGTTACTTCCGCCTCGAACCTCTGGACTTAAACAATCCTCTGGTCTTAGCTTCCCCAATAGCTGGGACTACAAGTGTGCACACCACCATCCCTGGCTAACTTTTTTTATCTTTGTAGAGATGGGATCTCGCTGTGTTGCCCAGGCTGGTCTCGAACTCCTGATCTCAAACAATCCTCCCAGAGTGCTGGGATTACAGGCATAGCCACCATACCCGGCATTCATTGAAATTTTCATTTCATCTCCCCATCCTGCAGTCCCTGGCATTGTACCAGAGAGGGACCAGGCAACCCTAGTGGCCACAGCCCCCCAGCCACTCCCTGTCCCTCAATCCTGCCATTAGGTTCTACTTGGCAAAGACAGTCCCAACACCAAATTCCCGAGCTGATACCCAGGGCGCTAAACCCAGCAGGGAACCAGTGACTGACACCACAGTGGAAGTGGAAATGCCCCTGCGGGTGGGAGGAAAGGACTGCTCTCACCAGGGAGGTGGGGCTCATAGTCGAGAGGGTGGATTCCAACACAACAAGGGGACAGAGCAGGGGTCTGGGGCCCCGGGGTCAAGAGACAGAGAGGCCCACCATCAATACCCGAACTTCCACATAGGAGGTATGGGCAGCATTTCTAAAAAACAAAAATCTTTAAAAACGTAATTTCTAAAAGTAGGAGTTTACAGACAGGCACGGTGGCTCATGCCCGTAATCCCAGAACTGTGGGAAGCCGAGGCAAGAGGATCACTTGAGACCATGAGTTTGAGACCAGCCTGAGCAACATAGCAAGACCCTGTTTCCACAAAAAAACTAATTTAAAAAAAAAATTAGAAGAAAATGAAAAGAGTTTATCAAATGAAAGTAGGTCAGGGAGGCAGAATGCTAAAATTACCCCAGTGGACAGGTAAATCCTCCACGCCTGAGCCTCTCACCCTGTCTGACCCCCTCTTCTGGTGCCAGGCTCGGATGAACGCTGGGGTACTGCCGAGGGAAGGGATGGTACAAAGCCTCAGGCAGGGGCCGCAGCTGTCTCCAGGAAACCTGGATATGCTCTTGCCCGCCAGCGCCCTCCTGGCTTCCACGGCTACACAACGGTCTGGGCATCTCAGTAAGACAACACAGCAGGGAGCGGGGTTTTGCTGGGTTTTTCAGAAAGCAGCCAGAAGCCCCTGTTCTGGAAGCCAAGCACCGAGTATCTTCCCGGCTATCGCCTGGCCCTGAGAGTCTCAGGCAACTCCCGCATCCTGCCGACATGCAAGCTCCAGGGCCAGATGATACTCGCCAGCTCCCGCCTGGGCGGCACTGCCCAGCGCCCACTGCCACGTGGTCAGCCTGGCTGTCCTCACCACCCCCAGACACAGCCCGCATGGCCTGCAGGAAAACCTCCGAAAGCTGCACACAGAACCAGGCAGACATCAGACTGGACAGAGGCCCTGATGTCCGAACTGAGCAGGCTTAGGCTGTGGAAGCCGCCCCCCCTCAGATGGGCAGTGGCTCAGGGAAGAAGCCCCTCTGTCAGCCGGATCCCTCCACAGGGCTCCAGACTGGAGTCAAGGTCCAGGATCTGCTCCTAGGCCTGGAGGCGGGGACGGGGAGGTAGGCATGAAATGTCGGGTCTTGGTCCCCTCCACGCTATTTGGAGACCATTAGTGGCCTTCTCAGCAGGCAGAGTGAGGAGACAGACAGGCTATCTGCGGATGAGGAGACGCTCAGGAGATGCTAAGAGCCCTGGGCTGGCATGCCCTTGGTGTCCAGTGACCTAGAACAAACAGTTCCTTGAAAACAGACGCTTTTCATTGCCCAGGGTGAGCCGGGCATCCTGAGCACGTAAGTGGAACAAACAAGCACAAAGCACCCAGGGGCTTTCTTGTGTCCCCAGGAGCACACAGAGAGATGGTGGCCTCCCTGAAAGCCAGTGAGGCACACCCCACTGTGCCCAGGGTCATTCTGGCAGCTGTAGCTGCCACACCAGAAAAGTAGCAGCAACTCCTTGGAAACAATACCCATCCACTGACTCCTCCCCCAGGCCAAGGGGCCCTCCTGGTCCTACCCGGTGTCCCCACCGCACCGCTGCTCCTAAGGACACCCAGATATGCAGAGACCGATGCACACACATACTTTCAGCTGTGCACATGTGCAGAATATCTCTGTCAGAACCACGCCAAGGAAGCAGAGGCTGATTGATTTATCCAATAGGGGATTATGTCTACACATTAATCATAGGAACAAATAGCCTCTGGCAGTAGACATTTAGGGAGGGAAAAACAACAACAATAAAGACAGCAGAGTAAACACCATAGGGCAGAAGTTCAGACTGGATTTCAAACCCAAATAAACCACCCGTCCCTTCTTGGCAAAGCAGAGCCATTGTGCCTATGCGCTGGTTTCTCGTACAGTGAGATTCAGAGAGAGGGCGCCAGAGGTGTTTGCAGCTGTCCCTCCCTTCGGACACCCACCACTGTCTTGGACAGATGAGGTAATCACAAATCCTCACTAAATCTTTGAGTCTTACTTTCCAACCCCAGCCCCTTTTAAAACCTCATAGCACACCTCATGTTTCCAATTCTGTGACCCTCAGTTTCTTCTTCTCTTCTCAATGGGCCTTTTTAGCACCAAAAAGGAGACACCCCCACCTGCCTCATCACCCTCCCTGGCAAGGCACAGTGATTAGAAAAGATAAGTATTGGCTGGGCACGGTCTCCCACCACTTTGGACAGCAGAGGAGGGCAGACCACCTGAGGTCAGGAGTTCGAAACCAGCCTGGCCAACATGGCAAAACTCCATCTCTACTAAAAATACAAAAATTAGCCAGGCTTAGTTGCAGGCACCTGTAATCCCGTCTGCTGAGGCAGGAGAATCACTTGCATTCAGGAGGCAGACGCTGCAGTGAGCTGAGATTGTACCACTGTACTCCAGCGTGGGCAACAGAGCAAAACTCTGTCTCAAAAAAAACAACAAAAAAATTAGAGTTTAACACAAGATTTTCCAAAGAGTAACGGTGTGTCTCATTTCATTTTATGTAAATGTTTAATATTTTAACTTCTTTTTCACACACACAAACTTTTGAAAGTTGTGAAACTTAAATGTATTTAGATGTGGACTTTATATGCCAATTGAAACATGCCTGGGAGAACACAGATGTCACTGCGTTACAGGGGAAGGAAGCAACTGTGTAAAGACCCTGGTAACAGACTAAACACCCGAACTGAGTCTGGGGGACTCATGTGCAAAGTATTGTCGTGGTTATGACCATGGCCACTTGGGCAAATCCTCCCAGAAAGTTACCAAGTCCCAAGCACAGAGCTTCGATTCTGCAAGGTTGTTACATTCACGACACGCTCGCTCGCTGGGCACATGTACCAGGTGTATGCACTGGGTACCCGTGAGACAGAGGCTACTTGGGGGAGACAGGGTCAGCGTGGCTGAGTAGTGCCTTTGGGCCAATGTCTACAAGCCCGCAGTACCATTAGTGTACAACGCAGACTGCCTACTGGGGCCCGTTCCCTGCAGTTAAACGTACACAGGAAGTCAAAAGAAAACTGAAGGCTGGCTGGTGAACACTCAGCTGTGGGATACAGTGACACAAGGAGCCAGTTATGGAAGGCAGCAGCCAGAGGGATGGTGAATCCCTCACCTGGACAGTGAGAGGCTGGCACCCCTGGGTTCCTATTCCTGCTCTCCCAGCTAGATTAAGTTACTAACCTCTCCAACGGTGTGCAGTGCGCAGACAGACAGGCAGCGGCCCACACGGCCTGTATCCCCCACTGACTCAAACCCTAACACAGAATGCATCCCCAGAAAACAAACTGTAGGGGTTACCCAGGGATGAGGCAGGATTTCTCTAGGACATCACCCACCCCGCTTCCTTAAGGTAGAACACCGTCAGCCGGTGTAACTCCCTACCGAGATGAAGTCTTTCTATCGGTATTTGAGTACCACATCCACCTTTCTTCAGACTCAATTTCCTGCGGTGGCTATCTAAATCCTGAGCAAAGACAAGCTAGCAGTTTGTCTCATTTCACTGTATTTAAGAAGAAAAAAAAAAAAAAAAAGGCCAGGTACAGTGGCTCACGCCTGTAATCCCAGCACTTTGGGAGGCCAAGGGGGCATCGCTTGAGGCCAGGAATTCGAGACCAGCTTGGGCAACATGGCGAGACCCCACCGGTACAAAAATATTTTTAAAACTTAGCTGGACACAGTAGCACATGCCCATAGTCCCAGCGACTCAGGAGGCTGAGGCAGAAGGATTGCTTGAGCCCAGAAGTTCGAGGCTACAATGAGACATGATTGCACCATGGCACTCCAGCCTGGGTGACAGAGTGAGACCCTGTCTCAAAAAAGAAAGTTTGGTGCTTTAAAAGGCTGTCTTTTACCTGTTGTTTACAACCCTGCACTGGCCTCATCAATACCCCCTTAGCTCCACTGATCATGGCAACTTCTGATTTAATGCCAAGGCCCAAGCACCGTCTGAGGACTCAGCCCAGTACCCAGGACTCCTCAGAACACAGAGGCTCTTGAATTTTAGTGATGAAGAACAGAAAGGAAAGTCAGACCTTGCCAGCCAAAAAGGTACTTCCTGCCCATTATGCTGACTCACAAATTCAGTAAGTCGGCAGGAGTTACAGGATGCATGCGAAGGAAGCTACAGGTTTTGTAAGAAACATTTACCACCACATTGATGTAGCAACAGGGCATCCCGTTAATGTGCCTCCGAGGCAAGAATATAATGCAGCTTATTGATGTAGTAGTTTTTGTTTTGTTGTTTTACTGTTCTTTGTCTATAAAAAGCAGTGTCCTAGACACCCTCCTTCAGCAATAAACCTCAGGGAGGCTGGGAATGGTGGCACATGCCTGTA